AATGGTTAAATATACTTCCGTGTACGTCTACTGCATTATTATATTAGAATGTAATAAAATGCTCTGTTGTTTATTTAGTTGTCAAGGTGAGGTATTTAAAAATGAGGAATTTCTAGAAAGTGGGGGAAAAATTAATAAAAAAGAAAGAATTAAGCCAGCAGATGAATCATTTAGAATCATGGAGCTGTCTGCTGTAGGCTGCTTTAAATGTCTGATGTTGAGTATCACTCGGAACACCCTAATGTAAGAACCTGACTTTATTTTGTAGTCAGTGGATGGAGAGAGAGAGGCATTTTCTGCAGGCAGCTTAAGGCACCCAAGGTATGTGCTTAAACTTAGAGCAAATATTCAAGTGTTTTCGGAAGTATTGTGTGCAGTGTTGGAAGGAGGATGTTCAAACAGCCAACTCGGGTGTTTTTCAGGATCCGTTTTTAAAAACTGAAAGTATGTGGAGATGCAAGTAGGGATTCAGTTCCAAAACTTAGAAAAACATCGATATGTATCCTCAGATTGCTCATTACTAAGTCATGTAACAATTGCTGTGACATCTGTTGTGTGAAATGCTGTTTCATTTATTCTTGCAACAGTTTTGTATATTCATACAACACAGTCTTTCGCATGAAAAGGATTTTGTAACCAGGTCTACACTAAACCACACCTGGGTTCCTGAAGTATCAGTCTTGTAATACTTCATGTAAGGAGGAGAGGGGCCTAGATAATGCAGCATCTTGCAGTGGGAAGTTGCTGAATGGAGCTGGGATTGATTGGTGACTCACAGTTTAGCTGGAGGATTGTTTCTTGCATGTGCTAGAGGGAAGTCTCAGCACACGGCGTTAGTTCAGCCAGCTCTAAGCTAAGCAAAGAGGTGTTTTGACAATCTTTGCCATCAGTTTCTAAAATGGTGTGAAGGCAGACTCGTTACACTCTTAGTATTTTTTGCAGCAGTTCTCTGCGTGTTGTACTGATACCTTTGTAAAAAAAGGGGTTTGGTTTAATTGCTTTGCAGGCTATCTGTATTGCCTTATTAATTTGGAAAGGAATTGAACAGCCAAGACATAGTCTTCCTCAGAATCTTGTGTAAGAATCTTTTAGGTTTTTTTGTTTGTAGACTGTCAGGTCATACAGCCCTTCCAAAACCTGTGATTTCTTCCCATTTTGCCCCACAGTTGTACCAACACTGACTTTGAATTTCCTGGGTATTATGAAGATACTGAGATAATTCCGTCTTTTTAAACTAACCGAGAAATACTATGGATTTAAGAAATTTTAAAACATTAGGCTCCAGAGGAAATGAAGTAACAACTCTAAATATCACCTTTGTAGTAGTTCCTCTGTGCATATTTTTTTTTTTTTAACCTATATACATCTTTAGGCTTTAATCCCTTATCAAAGTGGCAAGTGCCTCCAATGTATGCACTTGGAGGGACAGGTGCCTGCTTCTCCACTACAGTGTGGTAGGTATGTGAGGAGTGATACGAAAAGAACTGTAAACCTGTGAGTGGGATGAAGTAGCCATCCAGGTAGGATTAGCAAGAACGCATGTGAAGAAGGGTCATCGAGTAGGAGATGGGCATGCGCAGAAAAGCCGTGAGCAGAGGTCTGAAAGTGAAGGCAAGTAGTTTGAACTTCATGGGAACTTTGTATATTAAGAAATGAAATTAGTGTGAGCACATCTGTCCTATAGGGAGATTTTTATTGCAACTTTCTTAGAAGCAGAAGCCAATGTAGCAGAGGAGAAGTAAGATGTATGACTTTTTATAGTGTGTTGGGAGGGTAACTGATTGAAATGCATGTATAGGCTGAACTCAAAAGTGACTGGTGTTAATGATAAACTGTCAGGTACTAAGAACTCTGTTTTTTCTGTCTATAATGAGGGGTGCATAAATTAACTCCAAAGGTACCACTAAAGGGATTCAGTTAGCTTGGGTATTTGCATAGGCGCTAGCGATGAGCAGCATACTGTTTACCAAAATAGCCTTTGCACAGAAATTAACATTCTGATTATCTAATGTTTAAATGAATTGCACTCTTAAGTAATTTTGCGTATACTTCAGTTCCTCAGACTACTTCAAATGTTACTTCTAAGAAGATATAAGTTGAATCAGTGGTTAGGTTCTCTAAAATAATTGTTTTATTCTAGCTCTTATGTTCTGGATTCAATTCAGGTTAGTTCAGAATTGTAGTTTTAGCCCACTTAGGGTGAGGTGGATGCAGTTCATGTGCCATAGTGCAATACTGTGTAAGAGGTTAAAAAACATGGAAGCTGTGATAAATTCTGAATTTGTGCTGATCTTGTTTTAAAAGGGATTTAAAACTGTGGATCATGCAATTTTTTCCCAATTGGGCTTTTTTAGCTGAAATACGATCAGTGTAGTGCAGCTGTTTTAAGTTTGTGATGAAAGCCAGCTTAGTGTTCTTTAAAATGTTCTCCAACATGACAGCTGTTCTGTAGCTCTGTGTTCTGTACTCGTGAAAACCATTAGACAGTTATCTGTATCAGCAGAAAATTACTCAGCATGCCTTTATCTGTAGGGATATAGTCTTTAGGCCTCAAATATGACTGAACTTAGAATTCTTCTGACTTCAAGAGTAACTCTAGATTGCGAATGTGCGGTAATACAGAATTTTCTTTCCTAGGCTTGTGCACGATGTCATTGTGCTAGTTAAACAGTTTTCTCAGTTCTGCTGTTTGCAATTCTCCTTGGAGGTTGTACATCTTCTACAGCGGAACTATGACTTGATACGACCCCAAAAATGTCATTTAAAAGGGGGTGAAACTGAATTTCCTTTGGACTCTGAAATAGCTTATGTTATGTCTGGTGGCTCTGAAATCTCTAAAGAGAATCTTTGGAAACCAAGAGAGAAAGCTGTCTATCTAGCTCTGAAGGTGGTTAATATGCAGGGGATCCCCTTCTTTTCAAGATGAAAGAGAGAGTGGTATATGCTGCCTTTTGTACCCGAAATGTTTGAAAGCTGGTAAAGATTCATGACTTAATTCACAACAGCATGTATTGAATTATGATGACTAATCTTATTTTTGCTCTAAGTCCTAGAAAACACCTTGAGTATCATTAAAATATTGTCATATAATTACAGCCTGAATTAGGTATGTTTGTATATTGCAAAATGGTGTATGTGAAGCTTAAAAAAACCTGAATTCTATGTTTCCTGAAGTATTGCATCTTAAATATCGATATTCTAGTGGTGTGTGAAGACTTGCTGAAGATCATTTGAAATCAAGATTAAAAAATGAATGCTTAATGGCTTCTTTTGTCTGCCCAGGCTGAGTGAGGTGTAAAGGATAACTCATGTGTGGAAGTGGTTGATAATGGGCATTCTTTGAGACAGTATGGTATAGCTTGAGTAATTCAGCTATGACAGTTCGGTGCTCCTGTGATGTTCTGTCCAGCTGTAGCTTCATATCTTTTCCAGAGAGCTCTTTCCACTGTGTGTATGCAGGTGCCCCTTTATAGAGGAGGAGATGCTCTTCTTCCGTCATGCACAGTGGGTTTTTCCATTCTCTTGCAGGACCTCGGGCAAGGATCGCTGTTCATAGAAAAAAGCTTGTATTTTGTTTTCTATTTCTCATAAACCTCATATAGCAAGTTCCTTGGAAACTGAACAACTTTGAGATAAAGAGTCTTTTTGCAAGTTAATTCCAGTTAGTTGCTTTAAAAATAAATGACAACTACATTTATTTCAGATAGCTTCTTTGGTGGGGGATGAGGGTTATATATGCAGTTGTGGTTTTGTTCTGGGACTACTTTTGTGATTGGTTTTGAACTTTCTGTTAGTTAAACTGCTTCACACTTTACATTTATAAATGTATAGCTTTCCTTTTCACTTGATGTTTATCAAGAACTAGTGCATACTCACTTTTAAATGGTATCAGAAGTTTGCCCTGAATCAAAATGCAGCAGGAAAATAAAGAAATGTTGTCCTTCTCTGACTTTCTCCATTCCATACTTTCCCCTTGTTTGTTATCTTGAATCAAGTGTCACCTTGATTTCACATCCTCTCTTTTTCCTCCTCCTTCCTTTGTGACAAACCAGAGCTGTTTTAGATAAGAACATCAAAGAAAAGAAGAAAGAGGAGTAATTTAGTTCACAGCTAAATACCTACATTTCTTTAGTTCCTCACATATAAGCCCTAAGGTCTGGAAGATTTTATGTAGTGTATCAGAAATTTAATATAGTTCTTCATGTGTTAAATTTTTGGTTGTTTCAAAAGTATCAGGCTTTTGCTTTTTAATATTATAAATAAATAGGTTGTAATAGGACTTACTTCAAATGGTGATTTTACAGTGCAAAGTATCATGTATATATGAAGTTACCAAATAGGATGGAGTTAGTCATGATGGGTTCTAAAAAGAAACAGGTTTTATGTGTAAGTTTCTGCTAAAGGGACAAGTTTTAGTAATGTACAGCTAAATATAATTTATTCACATGCATTTTTGTGTAACAGGAGTTTAGGATTAGATGTTATTTACCAAAAAGGTTTGATTTCGGCTTCAATTGTGATTAACAACCGTCATAGTTGATTTTATTAGGCACAGGCCTTGTATTTTTGTATGGACTTGAACCATAAAAGAGTGTATCTTGAACATAGCATTTTGTGATGAAGTGTGGTATATGAAAATATGTTACAAGTACTCTTCCTCTCTCCAGAGTTTTATTGCCGTATTTAAGAGCACAACTGTTTTGAGACGGAAAAATCATAAACACTTGTTTTTTCTACAGAATTTCCCTTTACTGTGTGAACAAGACTCATCTTGTAAACATTTTCTGTAGAAACCAACAGTTGTGTAAATACATGGGGATTTTGGGTGGGGGTGCAGGTTGTGCACCGGGATGCCTAGAAATTATTTTCATTGCAGAAATGGAGAAATGGGGTTGACTGTGACTCAGTGTCCAGATAGTTGCTATCTGGAGTTGCTAAGTTTGGATTTGAAGGTGTTTATAAAGAATTAATTTTGATAATTTGATTACTCTTTATTGTAGTTCTGCCTTTGACACAAAAACTGGGTTGCGTGTGGCTGTAAAGAAGCTGTCCCGACCATTTCAGTCTATCATCCATGCCAAAAGGACCTACCGAGAGCTACGGCTACTTAAGCACATGAAACACGAAAATGTAAGTTGAAGGAGACAGTATGAAAAGTTGGTCTAAAGTTGGACTATCCAGTGAGCATCCAGCATGATTGCATTTAAGGATCTTGTTGCATACGTTTTTCTAATACAAAAACAAAGCTTGCAGTAGTCCAAGGGATTATGGTTGTAGAAAAGCATGCAGATAAAAAAAAAACAATCTCAAAAACCACATAACCAATTTTGTATTAGAAAGTCTTAATATTTCCTAGAATAATCTGGAAATTACTGCTGAGCAGATTCATGCTGTCTAAGGATTTAGGACACTCCTGCTCACTTGCTGTAGTAAGCTGTAATTTTTGTTATGTTATGAATTATGTTAAGAATTTATTTAAAAAAAAAAGAAAATCTCAAAGTTTGTTTTTAGTGTCTTCTGGAGGGTTTTTCTTATTTGTTTGTTTTGGCTTGCCTATGTCAGAAGGGTGCGGTGTAGATGTTCACTAGATTCCTGTAGGTAAAATAGGAAAAAAGGTGGGTGGGGTGGGAATCAGATGGCTTTTCGTACAAGCCATCCACTTAAATCATCAACAGGGAAACGAAATAGGATGTGACAAATGTTGTGTTAAACTATGTTATATACTGTCTAACCATTTTTCGATATAACCTCCATTTGGTATAGAAAACAGGTAGTCGAACAGTTCTGTGTGTTTGCAACATTAACACACCAACATACTTATATTGCATGCTGTTTGGAGCAGATATTACATGCAGTGGAGTAAAAAGTCTCAAAACCTGTCCTCTGTAGAGCTGTCAGAATGTCAAGAGGAAAGGAAGGCTCTTGTTTGTAGGGGTTTTTTGTTTGTTTATTTTTTTCTTCTTCCAAGCAAACTCCAACTAAGCAGAAGGGAAATACTGTTTTGGAAGTGGGCTGAGCAGACCTAGGACCTTTATCTAGCACAAAAAGCCAAACAAGCCTAATTTCGTTGGAAGATTCTCCTTGGATGGTCTGTTCAGAACTACTTCTGTTGTGGCAGTGGTGGTTGTGTGCTGTGGCTTCTAACCACCACAGTCAGCAGCTGCTATCCCTTAAATCTTCTTGGCGTTTTTAGTGTGGCTAACATAATTGGAATTTTTGATGCATATATGTACTGTTGTCGTCAATTCTTTCTCAGTGCCTCTGTACGATACCATTGTCTCAACAATAGAGGTAGCATTTGATCCTGCTTAATATCCATCCCCTGGATTTTTTGTGGACCTTTTCTCATAGCTGAGGTATTCTCCAAACAGGAAAGCTTTGAATATCTGTTACAAAAAAAAAAAAATCAGCATATCAGTCCATTCTGTCTAAGCTAATAAGGTTAAACAATGAAAATTAGATTGTGACTGGTGCTACAACAGTTCTATGTCTGGCATTCATTAATATTTTTGGATATATATTGCAAAGAGCCTATGTAGATTTGAGAGTAAGGGATAAAAGGCAGTTAAGTTGTTTATATATAGAAATATTTATTTCCAGTTCATCGTACCGTCATCTATCTGTGGGAAGTTTATCTAGGTTGTGGTTTGAAAATCCTGCAGATGCAGAGATGTTCAGCGCCAGTTCAGGCAGGCTTATTAGTGCTAGTGTGTTGACTATTCAGATCTCGGTTTGGGAGTAAAACACTTGGTTTTACGTGGCACAGAACACACCAGCAAATCTGGTAGGTATGGTGGTTTAAGGGGCTTGAGCATGGGGTGGTTTTCTATATCCTGTATCTAGTCTGGTTCATGATGATCTTGAGCAAATAAACGGACCCGCAGAGCACTCAAGTGTGTCTGCATTGTATTTTCAAGTTCTGGGAGGCCTTGTTAGCTTGCATAAAGCACAACACTGAGCAGATGGGAGAGCAAATGGGTTTGTTGTCATATGAAGAAATTAATAAGCTCTGTGACATCCTAAAATGCTGGGAGGGGAAAGCAAAAGGTTAGGAGTTGGGTCCTGAACCTATTGGTGTTCACACTTCCTTAGAAGTGAGTCAGTGATGTGCTGCAGAATAACTGTATTTAAGTGTTTGTGAAACTCGATGAAAGATAGGGATAGTTTGATACTGTGCTTTACAGTGTAGCAAGATAAAAGTGATAAATGAAAAAAACCTGAAGTCTAGATAGCAAAGTCAGTTTTTGTCTTTCCATGCTAAACTGGGTGGATAAGGTTGACTTTTCCTGTAAAAACTGGTACGGAAGAGTCCACTGGAGAAAGAAACTGTAAGCACGAGAATTATTGTACAGGATGGATGTGAATGTTACAGTTTGGAGAAGATGTCTGTCTAGAAATGGAGTTGCTGCGATGTGTATCAGGAGAGGCAGGAAAGTGTTCTTTCTCTTCAGTTTCCTCAATAAAATGTAATCTATACTGTATAATATAGATTAGACAGAGGCTTTTATTTCGTACCCACTTGCTTTCTTTTCCAAAAACATAGTCTAGGTTCCTCAAAGATTTTGTCTTTAATTCTCCTCTTACAGGTGACTCGATTGATTCTGACATCTTTGACAAGTGTAAACAATGGGATAAAAAGCATGGTGCAAAGGGGAACACAGGAATCCAACTCTTGGTTTCATATGCACACTTGAACCATTAGTGAGGTTGCTGAAATGTGCTTGATGCTTGTGTATCCGAGACAAATGAGATGCTGACTTAAAAAGGGAGGAGGAGTTTTTTGGAGGTGGATGAAGAGTACCTGTCCCCTTACCGCATATATTAATAAAATAAAATATTATTTGCTATTAAGAGAAAGGAAAATAAGGTTTAAAAGCACATTCCAGTGAAAATTAAAACAGTCTTTATTGACCAGATGGGGTTTTTTTTAAATGCTGTAAATGACCTAGAAGATAATTATGGGATAATAAGGTATAGTTATTCTTTTCCACAAGGTAACACATGGATATCCTTTTACTCTCTACTGTTAGAACAGCTCAGCTGTAAAATGAAAGGCGGAGTAGCTGCTCTTTGGGCAGAAAATACAAATGACAGTGTGAAGCTGTTTGTGAAAATTGGGTCCTCATTGCATTGCACTGTTTTCCTGACTTACTTTCTACTGTAGTCATTATTATTCATTGCTTGTGTTACAGATCCTTGAATTTTTCTAGCCATTACTCAGTACAAGCGAAACAAATAGTCTCCCAATCCTTATTTTAGTATGTAGTCAACAGTATAACTAAGAATTGAGCAGGAAGCAGTTTTGTCTGGTGGTTGGTTTTTTTTTTTCCTCATCCATTTGTTCCTGAACAAACTTCAGTTGCTTTTTGAAATAAGGTATTCTAAACCGGTGTTTACACCTGCCTTTTGTTATGGTACCTATTTGATGGTTTAAGTGGATGGCTGGTGTGAAAAGACAGCTGTATATTTTTAACCTTAATTTTTTTTTTTACACAAGAATTGAACGTTTGTTTCTGATCTTGTATGAATACTAATTTGTCTACATCTGATTGATTCATGTACTTGGAAATGAAACGTTGACTGGAATGAGTAGTTTCTATTCCACAAAGGATCTTATTAACTGTAGATATTCTACTATGAATGTATTTCACCCATTTTTCATTTTACTGTTTTCTTTCTAGGTGATTGGTTTGTTGGATGTGTTCACCCCTGCCAAGTCACTAGAAGAATTCAATGATGTGTAGGTAACTTCTCTGAAGACTGCAACAAAAATCTTTTGTATCTTCCTTACACCTCCCAGATGATTATAGAAATATTTGTCACCTTAATTTGTCTGCCATCATTCTCAAACAATTCTGAATTCCAACACAAAAGGTACAACACAAAAAATCCTAAACTATTGGATTTTTCAAACTTGTTCACTTGCGTTTTATTGGCCGGTGCTCTAGGAGTCGGCGTACTAATCTGCTATGTTATTTAAAGTGTCGTGAACTATGTTTCATTCAGCAACGCACTTTGGGACAGTCAGCCCTGCTGCTGGAGCTTCATAGGGGATTTTTATCCTAATCCTTTTGAAGGGATTGTCTCATAGCCTATGTGTTTCCTTTTGTTCATAGGTACTTGGTGACACACCTTATGGGAGCAGATCTGAACAACATTGTGAAATGCCAGAAACTCACCGATGACCATGTGCAGTTCCTCATATACCAAATTCTTCGGGGACTGAAGGTACTTGCACCTGTCCTACCTGAATGTTGATAGCTCATGAACGGGAGGTGGAAGTTCTTGATGAATGTCATATCCTCAGAGATTCATATGAGTACATAGTGGGGCTTCTGTAACTTTCCTAACGTATCGTAGGATAACCTATTATTATTGTTCCTTCCCTTCATACCTCTTTGGAGCTCTGTATCAGTAAAGCTATGTATCATTTAGGAAGATATTTCTATATGTTCCTATGGGCAGAGTTGGGAAAATTATGAAGTATGCTGCCTTCTAATCTGCTCTGACTCTGAATCTTCCGTTTCTTCAGTTTTGTTGACTTGTGTTGTTCCACTCGTGGTGGCAGTGCTCCTGCGTGTTCCTAAGGAGAGACAAAGTGAAACACGTACCTACTTGAAACCCATAGGCACACAGTCGGTTCCTTCTGCAGACAACCTATAGCACTTGAGTTGTGTGGGATGGGGTAGGGCAGTATTGGCTAGTGAAGAAATGAGAAGGAGGCTGCTTGGACTGTTACCTAAAATTTGTCATCTTGCCTTTCAGTACATCCATTCAGCTGACATAATACACAGGGTGAGTATTTATCCTAAGAATGCTTCCTGTACTGAACCAATGTCTGTAGCACAGAACCTTACAGTGTAGCACCTACAGAAACAAGCAGAAATTTTCCAAGAATTATTTCGGTTAAACAGTCAGAAGGTTAAACATGGGAAGTAGTTGTCAAGATCTGTAATTTCTGTTCCTGCCTATGTTTGATTTGTATCTTTGTGAAATAGGTTCTCTATTTGTTAAGTATACATCTACAGCACTGGTGTTGCAATAAGCTTTTATGCGTTTTTCCTTATATGTGACACCTCTGAGGATCACAGAAGAGATATCTGACTCTGTGATAAAATAATTTTCCCGAGTATGGAGAGTTGATATTTACAGCCAGTTAGAATCTATTTTCTATCTGCATGTACATTTTTATCTACTTGAGACTTGTGAAACAACGTATATACCGTTGTTAATGCTAATGTTTAATTTTTTAGGATTTAAAACCTAGTAACCTAGCTGTAAATGAAGACTGTGAGCTAAAGGTAATGTAAACACAAGGTCTGATTGGTTTGACTGTGATTTGGGTGAATGCCTTTTGGATGTCACTTGGAATTAAAGGGACAAAATAATTCCTTATGGAAATACTTTTGTGGCCCAAAGTAATCATAGAATCATAGAATAGTTTGGGTTGGAAGGGACCTTTTAAAGGCCATCTAGTCCAACCCCTCTGCCGTGGGCAGGGACATCTTCAGCTAGATCAGGTTGCTCAGAGCCCCGTCCAACCTGACCTTGAATGTTTCCAGGGATGGGGCATCTGCCACCTCTCTGGGCAACCCGTGCCACTGGTTCACCACCCTCAGCATAAAAAATTTCTTCCTTATATCTAGTCTAAATCTACCCTCTTTTAGTTTAAAACCATTACCCCTTGTCCTGTCGCAACAGACCCTGCTAAAAGGTCTGTCCCCATCTTTCTTATAAGCCCCCTTTAAGTACTGAAAGGCTGCCGTAAGGTCTCCCCGCAGCCTTCTCTTCTCCAGGCTGAACAACCCCAGGTCTCCCAGCCTTTCTTCGTAGGAGAGGCGTTCCATCCCACTGGTTGGATGGTTCCATCCAGTAACCACCGTACGTCTTTCCTGTGCTGACGACCCCAGAGCTGGATGCAGCACTGCAGGGGGGGTCTCACCAGAGCAGGGTAGAGGGGCAGAATCACCTCCCTTGACCTGCTGGCCACGCTGCTTCTGATGCAGCCCAGGATACGGTTGGCGTTCTGGGCTGCCAGCGCCCGTTGTCGGCTCATGTCTAGCTTTCATCCACAATAATAATAACGTCCTTCCCAGCTATAAAGGGCTGTAAGGATGTTTTTTCTGTATCTGTTCATATGTTTTTAATGAATCATCATGAAAGTGAAGAGTTAACAGCTTTAGTTTGGGTTTAGTTGTTTTAGAGAGAAAATATCCGGACGTAATTCTGATTGTTGAGTCCTACACTGTTCTAGGCTAGTGTCTTCTAACAGGTTGTGAAATTTAGTTTCATAATCTGCTTTTGCAGTTGCACCACCTCTCCTCCACCCAACACAGTAACTATTTGCTCTAGTTTGCATTGTTCCACTGCAGTAGTTAGTGGATGTCTTTTCTGTTCTGTAGATCCTGGATTTTGGCTTGGCCCGACACACAGACGATGAGATGACTGGGTATGTGGCTACCCGGTGGTACAGGGCTCCTGAGATCATGCTGAACTGGATGCATTACAACCAGACAGGTAATGCATTTAACTAACACAAGGCTTTTCAGTTCTTGAATTTTGGAAAAAAAGAGGTTGTCCTCTGTATGTGCTTCTTTCCATTTGATCACGTAAGTTGGCAGTTGTGGTAATTGCGCTTCAGTAAGGGTGATTAAAAGAAGGAAGGCATAGAATTAGTATTTGAACCACAGTCTATCAGAAGTAAGTTAAGAATCATTGTGATAGCATTCACAAGACTTCTTTAAACTTGAACTTTTGCATTGCAATCAGCAAAATATTGTCAGCGCTTATCCCTTATTTTTCCTAGCACAGTGGTTTTTAAAGTAAGTGAATGGAATGTATCTGGATGAGAAGGTGTGTTTCTAGGAAGCTGCTGGGAATATGCTGAAAAATATCTGGAATTACAGTGCGAAGAAATGCTAAAAAGCAGATAAATCTCCCTTTCTTTCCTCTCCTGTTAGCCACTTCTTCACAGTTATATCTTCCTCAGTTTCCAGTATCTTCTCAGCAACACACTGTGCTTCCGTACGATACTTCCAGATCAGGCACAGAGAAGAAAAGCAAATGCTGAGAATAGTTCTTGTACAGGAGAGCATATGGATCAAAGAAAACAATGTGCTACTCTGATCTCATACTTCATTACTTTTTCTTCTTTTCTCTTTTCCTCTTGCATGTATATGGACTTGTCTTGTATCTGTAGTATAATAGCTGGTGGTTGTTTGGGTAGAATTTATGCAAGGCCATATGCAAATTCATTCCTCAGAGTTGTCTTGCACAGGTTTTTTCTTCTTTGGTTGTGTAGATTCCTCCCCAGCTCTTTGGTGTTCAGGAAAGGAAGGAAAATTTGCCTGATCTAGTATTCTGTTATTTGGACAAGTCTTAGATGATGTAGTTACTGAACAGTATCAGTTAGCCTGCAACGTATCTCAGATTGTTTCAATGCCGTAAGACTATTTAAGGATAAAGTTGTTTGTACTTGTTGGATAGGGTGATTCTATTGAGACTTTATTTTTCTGCATTATGTTGTTTTGTTTTTTATTTTATTTTGTTCAGTTGATATTTGGTCAGTGGGATGCATTATGGCTGAACTGTTGACTGGAAGAACGTTGTTCCCTGGTACAGACCGTATCCTTTAAAAGTAATTTATTTTTTGAAATGGAAGTTAGAGATCTTCACTTTCACATACTTCACAAGAAAAGAAGTTCTGGGTTTGGTTGTGTTTTTTTGTTTGGTTGGTTGCTTTTTTTGAATTAATGGCTTCTTTTACTCACAGTACGATGAGGTGAGTTCTTGATTTTGCTGCACATGAAACAATCACAGTGTGCAAGAAGGCAAATCTATTCCTCTCCATTGTCTATTAGCATCACTAGAATTACTCACATGTTTGTTTCTGGGAGTTACTTTCCTTTAAGTTTATTTAAATGCATTGCTCTTTGAGTTTGTAGAAAATAACTGCATGGAGTAGGCTGTCTGCTATGAATCCTCTCATGCTTCTAGGTTTCTAGCAAATGTGAAGCATTCCTTCTGGCCTCTCTTCTGTATCCTGGTGGTATGCTGTGAAAGCAGTGGGTTTGCAGATTCTTCAGTGCCAAGGAGCTCGTTCCAACTTGCTCTGAGATGTTTAGGTTCCACTTCCATGCTTGAACGTAAACAGATTGTGAACCTTCTTTACTGTATGCTTGTACTGATGTGAAAAATCAAGCTTGAATAACATCTTTCCAAAATCATTTTTTTGCTGCACCAAAGTGGGCTGGGTAGGACACCTTGGCAAATTTATGAGAGCACACTTTGTGAGAGTTGGTCATGATTTGTCCCAGGAAATTGGAACTGACACTTGATGCAAATTGTTGTACTTACAACTTTTGTTTGTTCAGCCACACAACATACAGGGGTAATTTACTACTGGCAAGTTTTTTCATTGCCTAGAAATTGGAGTTTATTTGCCAGAGAAAATTACATCGCCCACCTTTTACCAAAGGTTATTCTTTCAACCACAGTTTGTTTATTTTAATAACTTTTATTAATTTATTAGTCTTTATATCTGTTAATTCAAATATGCTAGCATTTGATTAAAAGAAAACCAGTGTTGGAAGTGCTGGCCTTCTGTGTACTACGTTCCTTCTGGAAAGCATCTAGATTCTAAAACTCTTTGGTGGGGAAGGCTTTCATTCCAGTTTTGACACAGTTTCATCTCCGTTTTCAATGTGCTTTAACTTTACCCTTTTTTCTCTTTTTGTGCCTGTCTTCATCTCACAATCTTTCTCCAAATTTGTTGAACTTGCTATACTTTACTGTTTAGTCGTCTCTGCCGTATTTTTCTGTTGTCAGGGACAGAAGCAGAACTAACATGAAAGTGGCTTAGAAGCTAGAAAAAAGTTGCCATATTTCTATTGGCTGATTTAGCACGTATAATTTGGTTTGGGCAGATTTTGTTTGTTTCTCTCCAGAAAAAATGAGAAATCAAGAATTGTTGATTCAAACAGCAAAAGTCTTTACGCTGTTGCCACTGTTTGACCCTAGTAACACTTTAGATTTCAAAAATCTTGATATTTGCACATAAAATATTTGCTAATAGGATTTGCAATATGTAAGAAATGCTTCACGATGTGTTCTTTATGACTTGAACAAAACAGTTATTTTCTAAGCCTGCAAAGTTTTTTCTCCAACTGTGTTCTTAGCTGTGAATTATAGCCAATAATATCTGCAATGCAAAATAAAGTTTACTTTTAGGATCTAAGTTGTTTGCTTTGTCATATTAAGATACTTTACTAATTTATATCTCCTAGCAAATGCTTGTGATTCTTTACCTTAAATGCTCAACTTCTTTTGCAAATGGTAGTAACATTTCTGAATTAAATGCTTTTTCTGTTCTGAATTGGTTAGAGTTTAAGAAAAATAAGGCCCAATCCTTTCCCGTTGTAGATAAAACTTTGTAGCACTCTAGTTCTTACAGTTTGTGTGTGTGATTCCCCAGCTTAAGTAACGTATATGCTGTTTGATCGTGAGGTTAGAACCATAAGGGGAGCAGGGTTTGTGGTTATGAACCTTGTTTGTCCGTGTAACACTTATCCAAGGATCTAGAAAGGCACCAAGCTGTCATCTTTCACTCCAGCTTTGCTGATATCTAAAGAAAGCAAGCAGAAGTAAGATAACAATGGGTTCTAGCTTGTTCCTGTCTTGGAAGGCTCTTTGAAATCTTTATATATGCATGATTTTTGGAGAAAGTTTTAGGAACTTTTGAGATGTAGATCCTGTTGGGTACTCCTGGGCTCTTAATAGTTTCTTTGCACGCACAGATTTGCTGAGGCCTGTGTTCCTCCTGCAGAGTCACTCTGCAATTGCTAACTTACTGACCTTGCAATTAATATTGACATGCTTAATTGAAGGTATCTTTACCATGCTTCTAGTAGCCAAGGATATAGTATATCCAAATCCACTGCAGTTTTAGGGAATTCACTTTGCAGTTGGAGGCAATGTGAATAGGTATTCTGTGTGTTTAGGAAGCTGGAAACTGCTCCCATTTGAGAATGGAAAATTTTACATTCTTCTTGCTTTTTGGTCTCAAGACATTAATTTTCTCAACTATATAGCTTCACATTTCCAAAATGAAATAGGTAGTGACAGAATAGGTAATGCCTTCTCAGGATGATCATCCTCCTGCTCACATGGTTCTCTTGTTTGAAATATTGGTCCCTTTCACCAAGGATTTAGCAGAAATGGTGTGATGTTATTTACAGTCCATCAGATACTTCTTTATACGGTCCAGAGGTGCATATATTACTTGTAAGGGGCTTCAGTACAGGCAAGCTGTACAGTTAATTTAATCTGGTAAGTAATAAAGCTGTATTCTGAGATGATGATTGTCAATGCTGTCTATGATGATTATGCCACTGATAAACTAATGCTGAATTTAGTTCTGAAGGACCTAATCTGTAGAGATTCTGAACATGGCTGTCACTGACTTAAAGCAAGAATTGTAGGTACTCTTCGAAAAAAACCTGTGATTAATATGGGCTTAGCTCTGCAGGACTGTTGCAATATTCCTAACTTAAAACTGAATGTAAGCTAGTTGAATTGTTCCTATTGTAATCTAGGGGTGGAAATATTTGGATGAAAGATGGGTTTCTAATATTGGTAAAATCTCTGCCAGGAGGTAGAGGAGGAGAGCAAGATTGTGGGAAAGACTGGTCAGAGACAAAAAAATGGAGGTAATGAAAATCAGAGTCCTTTGGGCTTTTGATGGGAGGCATAGCTAGAGGCTTTCTTTTTGTTATTATCGTATCTGTCTTATGCCAAGATCAGTTTCTGTTAAACATGTATATTCTTAATTTTTTTACAGCTCTTGTAATGTGAATGATTCATACAAATAAGTAGGAAGGTTGACTTTAAGTTTGACAATTTGACTTGCATAAAATGATATAAAGTACAAATAAGAATATCTTGAATGTTTTGTACTAATGTAGCCAATTTTCTTTTTCTGTATGTTTTAAGTTGACTGTATTCCCTTTAAACTCTGAAAAGTATTTTTATCACTATTTTTATTCAGTAGTATGAGACTTCCATGATAACTAACCAGTCTGCAATTACGGATTCTTCTGATACATCTTATTCTTGCTTGTGGTGGCAGCTAAAACAACTTCTGAACTTCGCTTTGCCTGGATAAGCTCTTACAATCTTGCGATGCCTGCTACTGATGGTGATGGCAGCTTGTTTTCTGAATTTTAGAATCACTGAGACTCGTCAGTCGTTGTGGGTACCTTGGTGATGGCGTTTGGGGTTTGCATGCTGCGCTTTTCTTCTCCACGCACATGTGTTGTTTTTTTTTTTTTCTCTTTTGCTTTGTATTTACTAAGTCTTTTTCCTGTCTTTAATTGCTTATGGCTCATTTCTCTGGGACATGGTAGGCCCTATAGTTAAATGAATGCTGCAGCTCAGCAGGCTGTAGATGGCAGGCCTAAAACTAGAAGCAGGGCTTGGGTTTTGGCATGCCTATGGCAGTGCCAGTTACGCGTTCTGTGTTTTCTCTTGTTTATCTGGGAAGTCACTGAAGGATATTACACAAATATCTTCCAATAGCAGTTTTCCCTGGGAAAAGAGCTGCCAGCAAACTAGGCAGCAATATTGTTGGCACACCTGGTGCACATGATTTAAAATGCCTTTAAAAGAATTTAAATATTTAAACTGAGGTATGGCATGTGACTTCTGAGGCATGTTAGCAGTCTGAAATTTGCACAACTGTTTCTTGCACAAGAATGAGTGAAAGATGTAAGAGCTGTTTTCAATGGCACTGAAAAAAAGCCAGTTTAAATGAGCTAATTGTGGTTAGTATAGCACCCTCTGCTAATTCTCCTACACCAGTGGATATACTGATTTCATTTTAAGCATTGACAATTAGGAGTTGGCAATTCAGCAGCTAAGCTAAATCCAACTAGATACATTGGATTTACTCTTAGGTTTCGAGTGTTTAAGTAGGTGGGAGTTGGCCAAGAACTTGAGAAGTGAGAAATTAGTTCAGCTGTTCTGCCAAAATACTATTTCCAGGGCTTTTAATTCATTTCATATGTAAAACTTCAGATCAAAATTTACATCAAAAGATAAAGGTTTTAGCAAAGTATTGGTGATTTCCTTCATACACGGTTTGCCAGTATTACAGGAACTCTGAGGCTTTTTTAAAAAACAGGAGACAGTTTTTGAAGTTCTTGTAGTACTCGAATTAAAACCTATTCTAACAAGGAATTGTAACTGTATCTTAAAACGTCAGGAAGGCATTGATCCCGGAAAAAACATTGTCTAGTAAGTAGACTACTTTTATTGAAAGGAAAACGTGTAACTAGTTTGATATAATTTTAAGGGCAAATACAAACATTACAGGCACAGTGTGAAATCACTAGTAGATTTTGAAGGGCAGCGTGGAAGATAATTCAGAGAAGAAAGGAGATTTATTCTTTTAATGGTTTTAAAAGGATACTTTGAGTCTCCTTACTATCTTGAGTTTTAGACGTATGATTGTGTATTTAGTGGATTTTTTTTTCCCCTCAAGTTTTGTCACCTATGCCAAATATTTAATTTTCCTGCCTTGTTAAAGAGGGCAGCTCAGATTGGTACGTGGCCTGGTGGAAGCTCTGTTCTGGGTAAAACATCCTTTGCATCTGCAATGTTATCTTCCAAGAGCTTTCCACATAGAGATTTTAAATCTAAGCCCCTATTCTGTTCTCTCTGCCACTCCAGCAGGTCTGTAGGGCAGAAGGGAGATCCAGGTGCTTTGGCCTCCTGCCCTGCAGGTCCCCGGGGAGCTGGTGGGGGCGAGCAGAGGGAGAAAGGTGCACCCCATGTTCAGGGTTAGGGATGCTGTAGGTCATGAGCAGGGTCCAGTCGTTGTCTTACTTTCTAAGTTTTATAAGTGGCTGAATTACCTTGGGAGGTGTTTACAAAAGGCCTTGACTTTTTTTTAGTATTAGGGCCTACACTTTTCAGCCTTCTGCTTTACTTCATCTGTCACTAACGCAACCTAATCCTGCTAACTGCTTCTACTTTGGCGTGGGGCCTGAAAGGGTGAGGTGAGCATGTAAACTGATCCTTTGCCAGTGGGGCAAAAGCTTTGACTTCTGCTTCACGATAGTTAAGGATGCAGTGACCGATTCAATGCATGTGGTGTATTTGCAGACAAGTTGTTCAATCTGTCTGATGCAGAGAGAGCTGTGTTATACGGGGGTATTCAATTGTAAACTAGAGCAATGAATACAGTTTGCTTAAAATAGCTTTTCAGTCAAGGCCTTGGCAGGCATTAACTTTCAACATTAATAGGCTGATACGTTACGCTTTTCATTTTGATTTGTCCCAGCATTTTCCTTTATGGTCCATCATTAGATATTGATCAGTTGAAGCTCATTTTGAGACTCGTTGGAACCCCAGGGCCTGAGCTTTTGAAGAAAATCTCCTCAGAGTCTGTGAGTTTACACTTTGATTGTAATATCTGCCCTTTCGGAAGTCCCAAGTTTGTGTGTTGCCCTCCTGTAGTCTATCTGTAGTATGTGTTGGGGTTTACTTTCTGTTATTTTTCTTCCCTTTTCATTCTTTGCTCTTGGATGGCTTTGCGTTCATGTGCTGTGTGTATCTGATCTTTATTCCTCTTACCTCTGCCTGTGGTACGATTTCTTCCTTCCATATTCTCATTTTACTGCTTCGTGACTTTTCTTTCCATTTGTGGGTTTATACTTTGTGATATATTGTACGACGAGATGCTGCTGGGGAAGTATTTTTCACAGCTAAGAGCTTGAGGCTCTTTTCAATAATTGTTTCTCCAGATTGCCTACCCAAGGGTCTTTCTTAACAGCAGCAAGTGTGTTACCCTCTAAACACGCGCAGTCCCTTCTGTAGTGTGATTAATTTCTGAAACGCTACTGCCACCATCTTTGTTTTTGTAGCATAAAATCCAAAATGCCTTTTAGGTGATTTTGTGGCAGCTGTTTCCAGGGCATACAGTATATAGCTGCTGAGAATATAACTAATCGCGCCATGTATTTATAAAGGGTATTGCTGTATGGGGCCCTTTTATCAAGGGAATTGCAAAAAGCTTTCTGCAGTCTCCTTTTTAAAGGTGACTTCTATTTTCAGCCATACTGCCATTTCTGTATTGTTCTAATCTTGAATTGTGAACTTCTGCAAAGACAGTATTAAATGGCATTTAATTTTACCTGTTTCTGAAGGTGAAGTGCATAAAAGCTAGAGCAAGAGATGCCCTAACAGTACAGATTAACAAGTTAATGCATAGCAAGCAATACCTCGCTTAGAGGTAGCTAGCAGCATACTTTAGCAAGTCACTCTGCTGTTTCTGATATGTAATAGAGGATCAGCGTGGTGGAGAGTGATGGTAAGATTATTTTGTACTGCAGCTTATATTCTTTTTCATATAACAGTGACGGTAAATGTGAAATGTGAGATTAGCCTTGAATTATGTTTGATGAAGGTAGACATGCGGTGCAAGTTGGAATCAATTGGTTAACTTGCTGAATATCACACCAATTTAAAAAGCCCTGGGATGTTCTGCCCTCGGAAAGATTAGAACTGAACAACGCAGGTTGCTTTGGGTGCCCTGTGAACTGACCTTAAGGGTAGTCTGGTATTTGAAGTACAGGGGATTAGCGAGAGAGAGAAGCTTAAAGGTTGACTAGGTTAAGCAAAAGATTAGTTTGCATACGTAAGATTGAAGTGGGTCTTTTTTTAACATTGCACAATAAAAAGAATAATTGCTCTTAGCCGGGTCCAAATCAAGAGTCTGTTTAAAAAAAAAAGTAGTAAAGTACTGTTCCTACTAATTTTTTCCGTTGTATGGAGATAGCAAAACTATTAAGTGTTTGAGGGCTTTTAGTGTGTCACTGTAACGAATTCTGTTTTTCTGCTGCATTACTTTACTTGCTCTTACTTTATCTGTCTGTTCACTGACATCAGCTAAGTTTGTCTTATGCAATGCTAATGTTTTGCTAATTTTGCATTTATTGCCTTCTGTCACCTCGCCCACATATCAAAGTGCATTCAAAGCTGTTTAGAAGGAGGTGTCAGTTGTGAGCTGATTTCACGTTGCACCACAAGGAGCTTAAGTACTTTCTATACAGCAAGGAAAAAAAGCTGGTAACCAGTGCAGAGGATACCATTTTTGTTTCTGTTTTAATTTTTGTTCATTTTCCTGAGGCTGTTTGTAGCTGCAGCAGCCTAGGAAAATTTTTGAGGAGTAGTTTCAGCCAAAGGAAACATCTACTCTGGTGGCTTCAAACTGTTGGGAAATGTGAATGCAACCGTGTTGTAGTATAATGCTACTTATGGCGGACAGAAATACTTTCTGTACTGACGCTGTTACCAACTGATCAGTAATTCTCCATTGTTTTAAGTGTTCACTAGTGCAATTGCTAGACTTTTCACACGTATTTGAAAAAATTAGTAGACCCTGCCTATTTGGCTTTTGCCTTGTGGTTTGCAGAAGAGATGCTTTGTATGCAGCTGTTTTCTGTTTAAAATGGTTTTTGCACTGTTTTTAACAAAGCCCTTGACGAGGCACTTAAGATATTAACCAGCTTCAGCAGATCATGCGTCTGACGGGAACACCCCCTGCATATCTCATTAACAGGATGCCCAGCCATGAGGTGAGACCTGAGCAGATGAGGGGGGTTTGCAGGGCAGGTCTTCACTTGCAGTGTCTGCTGCTTCTATAAATGATGTGCTCGCATGTGGCATGGGGTGGGCAATTAACTACCTGCTCTTCAGCAAGATTTTTGTACTAAATGAAGACCTGAGATTTGGACAGTGTGTACTCAGCCACAGACTTCTGAGACACGGGAGAGCCTGGATGTGAGTCGGTTTTGCATTGTGTGCCATGTTGTGCGGCTTACCAACAGACACCATACTGCACGCAGCCTTACCGTGACTCCAAGGCAGTCAGCTCTTGCAGCACCTCTTTGCTTTTCAGTCTTGCATGAACCCCAAATAATGTCAGCTCTTCCTCCGCTGTCTTGAGTGGCCTTTAGTTGGGAAGGGATAACAATGACGGGCTTAGTAAGTGTCAGAATTAGAAAAGAGAAGGCAAAACGAGGAGGCAGACCGTAATAACCGGTGCTCCAGGATGATTGAAATGTACTCTGCCTTGGTGGCTAGGTTGTGTTATACTTCAACGGAGTATTTGTTTCCGCAGGCAAGAAACTACATTCAGTCTTTGTCTTACATGCCGAAAATGAACTTTGAAAACGTGTTTATTGGTGCCAATCCACTAGGTAAGACTTGCTTTTTAAATGTTGTTCTCAAGCTGAAGCTGGCATGTCCTGGGATACCAAGACTTTTCCCAAAGTCTTGTTTTGACTGCAGAAGTAGTTCGGAACAGAGCTATTTTCAAAGTTTACAAAGTATGTGTGGACTCTGGGTATTAGAGGGAGAAGTTGTGGATGATGGGTGGGTCCTGAGAAACTACAGATTCCTCCGTAATACATTGGGCTTTTACAAGCTTGCACTTCCAAATACAGTGTCACACAGCTCACTGTGTAAAATCCTTTCCTTTCTGTTTTGGTGCTTTTGCAGCTGTGGACTTGCTAGAGAAGATGTTGGTGCTGGATACAGACAAACGAATCACTGCAGCAGAAGCTTTGGCTCACGCCTACTTTGCTCAGTATCACGACCCGGACGATGAACCAGTGGCAGACCCCTATGACCAGTCTTTTGAAAGCAGAGAACTTGAGATTGAAGAATGGAAAAGTGAGTTTGGGGAACGGGAGAGAGCGCCAGCCTGCTTCCCTTGTCGTCCATTCCATAGCTGCGGTTCAACTAAGCCACGGTAGTTAGAGGCACAAAAGAAACTGATAAAAACGTGGGCATCCTGTTCGTTCTGAGGTCCTTATACTGAGTGAATCTATCACATGCTGTGCACGTAATTAGCATAATCCCTGGTAACTAATTATTGCTATGAGCATACAAACATGTAGGCAACATAGTTGCTCATTTCTTTATGTTTTCAAACTTAGTCACATCTCCTCAGCGCTCTGGAAGTATCTTTTATTGTATATGCTGGTCTCTGAGAATGGTGTAACCATTCTTTTCTTTTTTCTTCTTAATTAAACCATGTTTTTTGTTTAAAATAGTGTTAGAACCTTTAAGATAGTTGCAGGTTTTCTTGCATGAGGGATGTCTTTAGTACTGTCTGTTAAGTTTCTGTTACGCTTTTCCTACCAGGCCTGACTTACGATGAAGTAATCAGCTTTGTGCCACCACCGCTTGACCAAGAGGAGATGGAGTCCTGAGAAACTGCTCTCTTCTGTTTGTCCCACTTCACTGTGAGGGGAAGGCCTTTTCATAGGGACTCTCCAATTATCGTTCAAGTGCCTCGTCACAACAATATTCTCCTTGGTGGAGGGGTTTTGTGTGTGTTGAATTGGGAAGGGTGGGGGGAGGGAAGAAAGTTGAGTCTATGTAAACATGCTGCATGCTCTCTTGTATTCTGTGTACAGCCTGGGGCAAGCCTCTGAGACCTGTTCTGACTGCTCGTTAGTCCTTCCAGAGTAACAGTGCTCAACCAGTTTGCACTGCTGGGGCAAGGTGGGAAAGTTGATGTTGAAAGTTTGGTTGCAGTCGTTGCCATTTATCAATTCTTCTACAATTTAGTAACCTCAAAATAATGGAAGTTGTTTTATAGGCTTAGTCCTCTGTTTTCTTCAGGACTGAAGGTGGGGTTGGGGGATGTCCTTGTTCAGTGCCAGATGGCTGATTTATGTCCAGATCTTCCTGGTACACCAGAGTGTACAGGCCTCCTAATGTCTGATTCTTGGAACATGAAAAGGTTTTGTTTGAAACTGTAAATATGTTTGTGCCTTAAATGAATGGGGAGAGAGGGGAAAGGAAGTCTGGAGTGGAAATCTCTGACCCACAGTTTTTCAGGGTGAAGGCTCCCAGATAGCCAGGCACGAACTCAATGTAACCAGGAAATAACTTTCTGAGGCAACAGCCTCTACCCCTGGGTTGAGTATTCCTCTATTTTTCCCTCTTCCCCTCCTCTCGTTCTGAGGCTTCCCAGCATTAGCTCCCAGGAGACAGAGGCTGGAGAAGATTCTTGCTAGCCACACGTTTGTGTATTTTGTTCCTTACAAGGTGGGGTGTTTTTGCATGTCGTAGCTGTATGTGCATGTAGAGCTGCTTGATTTTTGTCGTTACTTTTTTGGGGATGGCACTGGGGCAGTTAAATCGTCAGTGAACTATTTTACTGAGTACCTCAGCCAGTGCCATGAAATCACAGCATCCTTCCTCTTGTGCTGCAGCTCGTGAAATACCTGCCATTCTGGAGGCGTTGACGAGGAAAGGATAAAAGATATGGCATAGAAACATGCACCTTTTTCTTTGTGTTCTGCCCTTCTGGTTTCAGAGAAGGAGAGCTTGGGACGGAGCGTTTCTTGTGAGATCAAATGTAAAAAATGTTCTTTAAAGAAACAACTAAGGCGTCTTGTGCCAGAACTTAAGTTATTTCCTGAAAAGAATTTTTTTAGAAGTATTGGAATCCAAAGCAAAGAAATAAGCATGCATAAAACCACAATCTCCCTTTCACTGTCTATATCTATAAATATAAATATTTATATATATATAAAA